CTGCTGGCCTGCTTGCCCCTACCTTCCCTCCCACTGGCCTGCTCATCCCCAACTGTCCCCCTGCTGGCCTGCTCACTGCAAACTGCACCCCCTGCTGTCCTGATCACCTCCAACTGACCCCCACTGATGGCCTGCTTGCCCCCAACTGGCCCCCCTGCTGGTCTGCTTATCCCCAATGGCCCCACCCCCCACCAGCCTGATCACCCACAACTGCCCTCCCCTCTTGGCCTCTAACTGCCTCTACCTCGGCCCCGCCACCATGGCTTTGTCCAGAAGAATATCTGGAAGGTTTCCTGGAAGGTCTCCCAATCTAATTAGCATATTACTCTTTTACTAGTATAGATATATTTGTCTGTAAATATGGTTATGATTGCAGATATGGGTAGGATCAGGTAAAATTTTATAGAATGGGCCTTTTATTACAGATGGTTTGCCATGTATGCATTTTTTCTAAAGAAGTAAAAATTACATTAAAAAATGTTTCAGGAAGACTTTGAGAAATTTACAGTATCTGCTTTTCTTCCAAGAAAGTTGTCACTTTTATGCCAGAGTGAGAATTATTTGTATGCTTTGTATGTCAGCATTGGGCCACTGTGACTGGGGGGCACTTAACTTGACTTGAGAGTAATTATCTTGCTCACTGGCTGGGAGGGAGGGTGTGAGGCAGAGGAGATAAATACTCAGTTCTGGATTATTCATAGATTGCTGACTTTCTGGATTGATTGTGGAAGCCCCTCCTTTTATTGATGTCCACCTTCTATTGACAGACATCTACCCTGGGAGAGAAATGAGATGAAACTCTCTTTCTTTTCATTGTAAAAGGCATTTGAATTCCTAATGTGTGATAAGGCCACCCAGCCATCCACAGTAAAGGTACACATTTTCATGGAGGATGTTCCCACTCTTGAATAAATTAAAACAATTTTTTTCTTTTGATTTAAACTTTCTTCTATAATTGTTTTCTTGTTACGTAAAAGCTAGTTTTTTTGAAACTACTTCCAAAGCTTTTCAAACTATATTTGTCCTTGGAATGAATTTATAAATAAGAATTGAGCCCAGCCGATGTGACTCAGTTGTTTAAGCATCGACTTATGAACCAGGAAGTCACAGTTTGATTCCAGGTCAGGCCACATGCCAGGGTTGTGAGCTTGATCCCCAGTACAGGGCATGTAGGGGGCAGCCGACGAATGATTCTCTCTCATCATTGATGTTTCTATCTCTCTCCCTCTCCCTTCCTCTCTGAATCAGTAAGGATATATTAGAGAGAGAGAGAAGGGTATATATGTTTGTAAATAAGAAAACATGTGTGTATTTGATGCTCTTAGAAAGTCTTATTTTCTTTCATTAAAACTTGTGCAGTATAGGGAACTCCATAGATCCATAGATTCTCTTAATTTGAAGAAAGTTAGAGGGAAAGGTACTAATTCAGAGTTCCTTGGGAAAATGTGTCACTTATATATTTTTTATGTTTATTTTTTTAAATCAAAAACTGGAATATTTTCTATTCAGAAAATATATTTGGATCTAAATATCTTCTATAATTTTAACCCTAAAATATCAATTTAAATATTTTAAAAATGGTTGGGATGTTTGTTTTTTTAAATAAGTTAGGTTACTGGAGTTCTACATGTTACTGGATCACCTGGGGTAATTTTCTGATTGGAAAATTAAGAATTATAGTCAGAGGGGAGGACATGAGAATTTTTAAAGAACATATTCAATTTACTTTAGAAGCCAAACCTCTCTTTTTTTTAAAATATATTTTATTGATTTTTTACAGAGAGAAAGGGAGAGAGATAGTTAGAAACACCGATGAGAGAGAAACATCGATCAGCTGCCTCCTGCACACCTCCCACTGGGGATGTGCCCACAACCCAGGCACATGCCCTTGACCGGAATCGAACCCGGGACCCTTCAGTCCACATGCCTACGCTCTATCCACTGAGCCAAACCGGTTTCGGCTAAAGCTGAACCTCTCTTATCATGTGACTTGTTTTGTATGTTTGTTAAACTATATTATCACATAAGCATTGCTGCTATTGGGACAAACAGTGACAGTTGATTCGGGTTATTTGAATGTCCACTGTCTGTTTTAATTTGTATGTTCGTTTTGACTCTGTCATATGCTCAAACTTCAGTGGAAGTCATGAGAACCTATTATTTTTGCCTGCTCCCTCCTTTACATTGGAAATATTCTTTTTTACTCAGAGGGACCTTAACTTTGATCTAAGGGATTGTTTCTGTTGCCAACTGTTTTCTTCCTTGCCAAGTAAGGGAGTTGTGAACTCTTCAGTGATGCCTTCCCCAGGATATTTGCAGATGTGCTTGGGAAGTCATTTCATCCCCGACCTTTGCATGTCAGGTGCTGGGGTGCCGGGGTGCCGCCTCACCTGTGCCCCGTCTCTCCATATTGATGAGGCTCTCTCTCCCTCCGATCGCCATGGCGACCACCAGGCTGCAGGCCAGGCGGCACCCCCGTGGCTCTTGCCTGGTGCCTGGGTTTCCGATCACTGTTCTTCCGTCTTTCCCCTTTCGCTTCCCATCATTCTGCCTACATATGCAAATTAACCGTCATCTTTGATGGTGGTTAATTTGCATATCGCCCTAATTAGCCAATGGTAAGTGTAGCGGAGGCACGGTTAATTACCCTTTTTGTCTTTTATTAGATAGGATATGGATGTTTCTGATTATAGGCTACTGGCAATGTTAAAATGCTCTGTATTTTAACCTTTTGCGCTCCAACATTGAGGCTGACTCGACAGGCCAGGTGCTAGTAGCAGGTCCAATGTTGAGCTGAGTTGGTGATTGAGCTAATTGGCAATTTCTGCCAGGGAACTACTGCAACCAAGACAGGAAGGACTTCCAATTCGGACCAGACTGTTTGAATTCCAAAAATAA